AAGATTAAATTAATGAATATATTGCATCAGAAAATTGATTGAAAAATGATATTGATTCGATAATATTGAATTTTCAGTTATATTTTATGAAAGAAAAATTGTATACCATAAATCTCTTATTACATTAAAAACAAAATTGTGGGATTAGTAGCGCCATCTCCTAACACATCCGCGCACTCTCTTAACCATTTAGCAACGTATTCTCCTTTTATCGACATTTTACCTTTTAATAATATAACCGCTAATTATTAAAGCTAAAATATATATTATACATGATAAATTTTATAAACTCATATTATATAGCATATATCACATATGTGTAGAGTTATCTATATTTCTATCTTTGTTTGAACGAATAAATTCTATCTTGGCTTAAAATATTTCAATTTAAACATATCAATAATTTATTGAAATATATTTGAATTTATCAAAAAGAAAGTCTTATTACTCTCATCAAGTGATAATGAAATATCTAGTAGAAACAAATTGAGTTTTATAAAACAAAGACAGTATCGAATATAGAGGCATGTAACTTTCTTATCTAATATCGCTTTTGGCTAACATTCACGTGTGATTTTACGAATGAGACGAGAAAGTTAAGAAAAAGTATTTTCAACTTTATAAGGGTCCGCTCTCTTTCTCATCAATCTGTCTCGTTAAACTTTATCGATACAGTGTTGTAAGGAGAGTGAAAAACGCACTTGCCTTCGGATAAATCCGAGATAAAACAAGGAAAACGAATAGCAGACACTTGAAATTCAGCCAAAAATTGATAATTAATAGATAAATTCACTTGCAATTAGGTTTAAATACATCGAAGAGTTTATTGAGAAGAAAATTACGATGGTACTTTGGTGCGGTTAAACTTTCACTTATCCTTAACTACATATACATGTATAAATTCACGATGATCCATAAATTTTAATCGTTGCATCAAAGATAAATTGTCCAGACTAAAAAAATTAATCTTAATATATGCACGACACTTTCTAATCCTTTAAAATTATAAGCAATTAAAATATAAAAATGTTTTAACGTTATATTTAAAATAAATATATTAATATGCAATTTAGAATATGAATATTTTGTAATCATTGATGGATTCATCAAATTATTAATGCAATAATTATTATTGCATTAAACTCTTGGACCCCAATCTATTTTATTGATTTTGCTATTTCATTCCATCTACTCTCTTTTATCAAATTCTTTATATTCGAGGCTGAAAGTCTTTGAAGTTTATATTGACAGTAGACCTGCCATTATCGCGTAGAAAAAAACTTTTCTTCTCTTCTTCTGCATCTCTATATGTATTCTATATATAGACGGTTTTCCTTATATCCTATCCCTTATTTTTCAAAGAATCGGCTTCAACCCCATGTACTTTTCTACTAAACTATATGTGTGTTCGTGCGCGTGCGCGCTTGTATCCTATTTTTTCATTTGTCCTTCAACTTCCTTTTACTATTTATTCATGTGACACTCGTCAAAGTGATCTGAATTTGCGAAAAATCGCTGTTTAAACGTACCGCTAAGAAATCCTTTGATAACACATGATATTTGTACCGTAATCATAGTCATTATTTTAAATAAAGAAATTCTAAAATTCTCTAATGAACTTGTAATAAATTTTTAAATTTATAAAAATGATTTAACTAGGCAAAATAATTGCAATTATTTTTTTTTTTATTTTTTTTTTATTTTTATTTTTTTATTTTACTAAATGTTGAATAAATCAATCCATAATAATAATCATTAAATATTTATTACGAAATAAATATACTAGTAGTTATAGAAATTTTAGTCAATAATAATTTTGTCGTTACTTTGCAAACGACTAATTAATGACTACTAATACTACTAGTACTAATTTGCAAACGAGATGTTTAGTGCTTTGATATGGACATTGCTAAATTAAATAAATATACGTAAGTTCATTAATTTGTTAAGCATTTAAATATTTAAATTACAAAAAAAAACAAAAAAAAAACAAAAAAATACAAATTAATATTTAAATGTATATAGTTTTGTCGAAAAAAATCGCACGGCCAAGCGTAAATAATTTATAATAAGTTTTATTTATAGAAAACTTAGCAGTAATATTGCTAAAGCAATTTAAAATATGATTTTTTTTCTTGAAAAAATATTTAATTATTTGCTTCATTTATAAATTTATAGCAATGTTTAGATGATTGTTTAAAGTCGATTTTTAATGGCTAAATGTCATCTCGATATACCATGTACATTTGATAGTATATTTAATGTTAAAGGGGAGATGGTCAGGAGAGAGGGATAACGTGCGAGAATAATATGCGTGAACAATGTGAAAGCGCTATTTATCGAGTAGTTTGCAATGTATTAGCATTCGATTAAAGGTACGGATGATGGAAAACGTGGAGCCGATCAAAGAGACAGAGCAATCGTTAGCGCATAAAGAGTATACCGACTGGTTTCTGAATACCAATGATCGTTGGCGCAGATCTCGGACAAGGGAGCCACAACTGCAGCGTAAGATCACTGAAGCGGTTGTAAATCGGATTAAGCGACGAGCTATGATCGAGCCACCACCCTCTTTTGCCTCATTGGTATTGTGCATCCCCGGCAAGGTGAATTCAATCCGAATGAATTTGCAGTTGGGGTGCCGATCTCAAGAGAATTAAGTGCCGTGTTTGTCTATCCCGCGGCGATACAACGCCGAGGCGTGATTATCCGAGTCGAGGTGATAATGGCGGGGCCGTGCCGATAGAGCGAAAGCTCGGAAGTCCAACAGAGGCAAGGTCCTCCGTGAGTATTATACGGTTGCAAGACGATGAAAATTGAGCGAGTGCCACTGCAATCTCGGCCGCGTGTAAACAGAGCCGGCTAACTTGCAATTACCACTACCTCGATATATAATGTATTATTATCCGGGTCGCAGCTCAGCCATTGTTCAATCACTGACTCTGTCGTATTTATTATATTAATGAATGTTCAATGGCGTTCGGGGCGATTTGCCAAAACAACGTCTGCGACTCAGCAGACATTTGCTAATCGATCTTATAAATTTATTACATTATAACTATTATGTAGAGCAAACCATGGTTTTACAAAGTTTTTTTTTTTTTTTTTTTGTAAAATGCAACTTGCTATTCGCAATTTTATTTAGAAAGTTTGCATAATACAGTAGATCATGTGTTGATGGATCGAGGTAGACTAGACGATGATGATTAAACAATTTCTTTGACAGATTAGTGAGATAAATGCCACAATAGCTCATACGTATGTAGCATAGGGAAGCTTAAGGACAACTTAACAATTATTTATTAAATCGAATTATCAAATCTAATAAAAATTCCTTCTTCCACCACGTCTTCTTTAACTCGAAATTACCTTTATTTACACACTTTTACATAAGTATTCGTCATTTTAATAAGCTTTATATTAGGGAGAGAGAAAATATTTTATAATTATGAAAACAATGGTGCAATACACATTCACTTGAATATGTGCAGCGCCCTTAGGACATCCGAGGAATCATCGTTGTATCGTGCAACAAGGACTCGACGCTCTCGCGACTAACACTTACACGAACTTGCACCTGAAATGAGAATCCATCTATCGAGCCGTAAGAAATAAAAGGTAGCGATATATTGCAAAGCAAATCGAAGGAAATTCCCTAGGAGGCCAAGAGACAGACGGCTTTCTCTTTCTAACGCGCTCACGCGCTCGCATTCTCCCATCCCTCGAGTGCCTAGAGTCCAATTTGCTCGTATCACGCTTAAAGCACGTACACTCGGTCGAGAGAAGATGCCGTTATTTCTAATAGGAGATTTTCAAAAGTTGCATTCTGCCGCGCCGCTATAGGAACCTCGTTACAGAGTCGGTAATTGAGCCTAGTCGGAGAAGCGAAATAGAGATCGAAAGTGGGAGGAGGCGAGGCGAATGAAAAGGATGAAAAGAGCGGGACGAGGTAGTGAATGGATGGCGATTGTGAGGAGGATGAGGATGAGAAAGCAACGAGAGAGATATGGAGGCTGTATCGGGGCTGAAAAATACACGGGCAGAAGATGCGTGTTTGTAGATGTGTAGTAGCGAAATGGGCTTCACTTTCGCTAATTATAGGCGTCGTTATGCCGGAATTGCGAATCAGCTATTGAAAAATTAAAATATACCCAATTCAATGTTATGTCGAAAGCTACCAAGTCATTAAATCGACAACTTTTTCAATTTTGAAATAATTGAAAGTATGGGGCAATAGTTTTTCGAGAGATGAACACCAAGTTTAGAATTGAAAATTCACTCTTGACTCATTTGACGCATCTAAACGTTGACGTTGTAAATCTGTCCTAGGAAATACGAAACATCAATGCTGCCAAGTATTTTCTCTTTGAAAAAAAAAAAAAAAAAAAAAAAAAAAAAAAAAAGAACAAAAACAAAAACTCAATGTTATCATTTATAAATTACAATTACAATAATGTGTATTAATTTAAATATTTAACTGCATTTGTCGCGTTGGCTGTATGATTTGGAAAGGAATAAATGAAGGAATTCAGAAATATTCAAATTAATAAAATTAGATTAGATTAGATTAGATTAATGCTGCTAAGACAATAAAGTATTACTAACGCTAAGACAATATGATCATATTTTAATTGGCAATATTACTTATTTAAAATAATGATAAAATAAATATTGCTAGTTTAGCTCAAAATATCATGAATTCTTGATTTCTTTTAAGAATAGCATTTATAAATTTCATCTACAAATATTAAATCTATAGTAATGATAAAATAGCAAAAGCTGTACAATAACTAGGATCGATTTCACATGCCTAATAAGTGAAACTTCGCTTTCTAAACATAACGGATTCTCTCTACGCGATCATATAAACAGATCTATTAAACGCATAACTGAAATAACAAAACAGAAATTTTTATAATAAGTATTTTTATTTGTATAGGAGAATATTTACCGATACTTAAAATATTACAATATAATTATTATTATGACGAATGCATGTTAATATGCATTCATAAAATTACGGAATCTCCCTTATAATACTCATAATAAACGATATATAGTTTGCAATACCAAAGTGAACGTTTATTTTCTCCGGATGAATATATACGTCTGGAAATGGACAGGTTCCTTTAGTGATTCCTACAATCATATTGTTATATATAACTGGACCGCCGCTATCACCCTAAAAAGTAATATTTATATAAATTATTATTATGGCATAATTGGAATATCTTATTTATTGGAAATACAATATTGGAAAATTATTAATAATCTTATTATATTATCTACTCTTCGACTCTTATTCTATGTTTTTAATTTTTTACATTTTCATTGAATTCGTACTATCTATAATGTATTATTCAACTTATAGTTTTATATTCTGCTCAGTCAAGTTTATAGAGTGAACGATCACTTATCACATATCATATGGTTTTAAAATTACATTTATCCCTCGCACACTGTTTGATTTTTGCAAAATTTTCAATGAATTTAGCTAATTAATGCCAATACCAATATTCAGTAAATATATTGCATATGCCTTCCTTATTATATCTATTTAAAATTCATCGCTATAAGCGAACTAATTGTTTACAAAACAATAAAATATATATATATATATATATATATATATATATAATGTTTTATATAATTAAAAATTGCATATACGAGTAATTTATATATGTGCGTAGATAGGATTATGAGTGCTTAGTTTGTTGTAAAGATTTCTGCAAGTCTTACGTAATCTAATAAAATTATTATTTAATAACTTTTATTTATTAATATGAAAATATATTATTTGAATTATTTGCGGTGATAGACGCAGATAGTCGATTATAAACTTATAATGATAACTTATATATAAGAAAGATAAATTTATATATCGATTGGCAATGTTCACTTTAACATTTGCATTGTACAACTGGGTAATATTATTATAAGATAAGCTACAAGACAGCTATTATCATAAAATAATCCAATTTTATTATTTTTTTTTTTTTTATTATTAAAACGTACTTATAAATCTGATAATTTTTTCTGTTATCTTTGTATACATTAATATTTTATAGATAAAATAAAATAGATTAATGAAAAAGGAATGTTATTTTAAAAATTAATCTGCATATAGATTAATCCTATTATGGGGGAATTTAGAGAGTTGAGAATATCAAAAATTACGTTATTAAGTAAAAATCTGTAAATTTATAAAATAGATTTTAGATATTAGGAAATATTATTTTTTCAATTAACATTTTTTCATGCACAATATTTATACAATTCAAAACAGAATTTACAAAGGATCGATGCGCAATTAAAAATTTGTAGCAGTAGAAACGTTACGATTTATTATGATTAAAATTTTAACTTGATTCTTTAAAATGATAATTTGTAATATTTGACAATATAATAAAAAAAAAAAAAAAAAAAAAATAAAAAAAATACACGTATGATCATCTACAAAGGCTATGTACATTAAAGTTCTAAATTAAGCAAATTTCAATGATTAAATCATGTTTCATTATTTGTAATTCGCTAACATGCGAAGAGCTTAATTATAAGAAAAATCTTAATAACTATGAAAAAATAAGATTTATGAAACTTATTAACTATGAAAAATAGCAATTACCCAAGTGTTAATTTAGCCTAATGAAAATGTATCGTAATTATAGAACTTTAGTAACATTAATTGACATAATAAATTTTTTTAAATATCATAGAATATACCTTTCAACATTTAAACATTGAACAATGAAATAACATCTAAGTAGTTATATTATTTTAAAGTATAAAATGAAAAAGTATCACATAATTGTATAAAATTTTTAGTTGAATTAACAATAATGTTTGCTGTAAGCTTAAGTTAAAATACATTAAGTAATTGAATAATATGAACTTCAAACAATAGATATTGACAAGCTCGTTTGAAGCCCATAATATATTGCTAAAATAAATAAATAATCGAAAGCATGCGTATGGATATTTGGCATTATGAATCAAAATGAAACACAGTAAATTGTTTGTAACAAACAATTGAAAATCAAAGTAGCAACGAGAAGCATAATTATACTAGTTTTTAACTTTATATTAGGGAAAACAACAATAAAATAACATCAATTTCAGAAACACCGAAATATAAATGAATCGTGCAATGTTTCCGATTCCATTGTTTTTAATGCAAAAGTAAAACAATTATGCGTGTCGGAAAAATGAATTTTCACATTACGATAACTACAGCTCCGACTCGATGAGTTGAATATACATTCGCAAGAGAACATCGAGTAGATCAACGACCGTAGGAGATAAAGAGGTAGTAGAGACAAATACATCTATGCATCATGCTATTGGTGCATCACAAAATGCTAAATTTTCGAAAAAAAAATATTTTTTTGGCTCCCAGCGGGGAATCAATCAACGAAAACACAGAAAATTCTGAAGAGAAAGGATCGACAGCTCTCCTAAATCTATTAGGATGACAATATTTTACAAAATTATCTAAGCCGCTGTTCGTGAATCGCTAAATCCAATGCAGAGAGAGAGAGAGAGAGAGAGAGAGAGAGAGAGAGAGAGTTCATTGCTTCGTTCACGACTATTGTAATTTTCATTAATAATATTTCTGTTCTTAGTAGTATAGAGATGTATGAAATAAGCAATTACATACACACACACACACACACACACACACACACAAATATATATATTAAAATTGTTAAAAAAATGTTCAAACATTTTATATTATACAAAACAATGCAATAAAATAAAAATAAAAAAGGCAATAATGCTTCATAACTAGAGATTGTGGCAAATGAAGCTTCTCAGAAGGTAAAGGAAGAAAAATTTTCGACAACACATGCAAACATATCAAATATTTTATATTAATTTAATATACGGAAGAAAAAAAACAAATTTTTATATACTTTTCGATATAACATCTTATTCAATAAATATTCTTGTATGTTATTAAAGGTAATTGGCCTAATTATCGATATTTCTATTAAAAAAAAAAAAAACGTATTCTTACCTGATGCACTAAAGCAAACGGATTGGTAGCTGTGCAGAACATATTATCCTCGAACGTAACTTGTTGTCCTCGTAAAGTTCCAACCCGATTTTCACATTCGGCTTTAGAAATCACTTGTACTTGAACTACATCCATAATTATAGGATTTTGCCCATTTTCCTTTTTACCCCATCCTGCTAACCACACATCTAAATTAACTAAGTCTGTGTTGGACGGAGTGGTTAAAATTCCCGGTCGTATGTCGTCGGATACATTCCGACTTAACTGTAAAATATATTTTTAATTATTAAAATCATAGCGAGCTTATGAATTTTATCAAAATAGTATTATTTTTTAGTATCAAAGAACTATGATTGGATACTTCATTAAAGAAAAGAGATGTTTCAAATGTTACAACCTTAATAAATATTTTTCTTTCATGCAATATATAATAATATTCGAAAAAAATTATTATACCCTTATAACGGCAATATCATTAACCGAATGCAATATCGGTACACGGAATAATCTGGCCCAACTTTCATATCCGAACCACCAAAGTATTTTGTATACTCTTGCCAATCTCCAATCAGATGATCCAATAAGTACTCTTATTCGCTCTTCATCTTTATTTAACATACAATGTTGAGAAGTTAAGACATCCCTACTTGAGACAAGTGCTCCTGTACAAAAATGTTGCAATAAAGTATTATCATTTCGATGGGTTAACATAATTGATACGACAAATTCGTATTCTCTTTCTTCCGCTTGTCTAACATTCTCGCCAACCAATGCTTTGGCGCTCGTCAAAATATATAGACAGCCTATAATAATAATAATAATAATAATAATAATAATAATAATAATAATAATAATAATAATAATAATAATAATAATAATAATAATAATAATAATAAATATAAACTTTTATAATAATGTAATATTCCGACATAACGAGCAATAGCTAATATTTTTCAATTATCATAAAAACAAAAATATACGTAAATAATATATACTTACAAAAGATTAAACATTGAATAACAACAAAATAAAATTTAAACTCCATGGTAAATGTCTAAATAGAAATATAACACGCATTCACACAACAGCAACAAACACACGCGCGCACGCGCACACACAGACACACATATATATATATATATATATATATATATATATATATATATATGCGTGTGTATTTATATGCCTGTAACTTTATTATACGCTATTGTGAATTAATGACATAGTTGGTGAATAATCGTAGATGCATATATAATATGTTAACATAAAAAAAAATTGAAGAGATATGTTAGTGGATAATAAATCAATATAATTTTCACTATTACTAAAAACGCAATATTAAACATGAAAGAGAAAATATATATAACTCTTAAATGAAAATGAAGAAGAGAAAATATAGAACTATTAAATAATTATCAATATTCTAATGTACATAATAGGTAAGATAAGAAATTTTTTAATTTATTAAACTAGAAACACTTGTCATTATTGTGATTATCAGACAAATTACCAATTCATTGCTTTAAATTTATTGAAATATATTTGATGATATTTTTAAAAACAATATGGTTGTAGTGAACTTATGCAATTAGTGAATTTATAAACATACTATAATATTAAATAAACATTTATTATGTAAGTAAGCTTTTCATACATCGAAACTACAAATCTTCTGTATGTATGCAATTTTAAGAAATTCAAAAACGTCTAATACTATTTCCTTTATCTGTAATTAAATATTAGACTATCGAAATAAAATTAATTCTCTTGAGATATCATCATTTGATAAAATACTGCTGACTACGACTTTTTATTATTATATTACTTTATCAATATATTTTAATTATATGAATAACATTAAAAGTAACATCTGTATAAATATAAAATGTTTATAAATGCTTGCTTATATGTTACAAAATTAAATGAAAACTCATCAAATCTAGTCCAATTTGCTGATTTTTTTTTTTTTTTTTTTTTTAGTCTATATTTATATAACAATTTGTTTCGACCATTATTTTATTCGAAATGTTTAAACATAGATTACAAAGGAATTTAATAGTTGCGTGAATATAAGTTGACCTTAGAATTATTTGAGCAAGATATAGCGCACATTCATTGTTTAAACAGATTGCGTAGTATCCTTGATGATAAATTCAAATAATATTATTACAAGTATTACAATATTATCTTGTTAACAAAAATAATAGAATAGTTATTTAGGGTATATAATATATTGTATTCAACGGATCTAAAATTCTATCTGTAAAAATATCTCGGAAAATAGTTATTGAATTGAAATTTAATTTTTAAATCTTTACACATAAGTCAATAGTTTTAATGAGATTTCTTGTAAGAATATTTAAATCAATTTGTTTTATGAAAGCGAAAAAGAATAGATTTTTTTTGTTTTTTTTTTGTTTTTTTTTTTGTTTTTTTTTTTTGTTTTTTTTTGTTTTTTTGTTTTTTTGTTTAATGCGGTTGAAACAACAACTTAGCACTAGAATTAAAATTTAATGCTGGATAATAAATGATTATTGTATTTTAATTTTTATTCAGCGTAAATTAAATTTTGAATTTTTAAAAATTATATATAATTATAAGATATGTCGAGTACGGAATACGTTTATTTATTATTTATTTATTAGAATCACGGAATAATGCATACAATTTTGCTCGATGTCAAAATTTTGAAAATTTATAACGTCGACATTTCATTAAATTTAATTATACATCACTTATTTATACTAGTGGTTTATAATGACCTTTTTAACGTTAATAATTTCGATTGATGTATAGGAAAATTCTAATTAGACATTTATTCGTAACGAGGTACAACTAATAAGCAGGTATTTGATCATTTTCGTTTCTATATTTCGTCAGACTATATAGAACTACATAGATTTTTATTGTGTTTTATAATCCATGCCAGGTACTGTAGGTATATTAGTGAGTTGACCTATTGATTATTTTATTTATAATATTGCTTTGTGAAGTATTTTTTCTTTTAGCGCTTTAATTTGTATGGAGAATAAATGTTATGCCTATAAAATCTCTTAAAATTAAATTGCAAGATTAACGAACAAATTTCAAACTAATGTTATGAATAAATTATTTGAATATTAGAAAATTGTACAAACAAATTCTTGCATAAAGAACATTAATTAAAAATAGAATAATTATATAATTAAAATAATGAGTCCGCAATGGTATAATATTTATTTTGTACAAACTGAGAAAAGTGAGTCGAAAAACGACATCGTCTACCTTCAAAATTTAAAGAACGACTAGATATTTAAGTACATATATTTTTAGTAAAGAACCGGAAGCATTACAAATTATTTTAAATTTCAATTGAAATTTTCTGTTTATAATAATGCCTAGAACAAGTACATAAGTCATACGTAAACAAACGCAATGTTAAGCTTTGATTATTTGACTAATAATAATGATTAAATGAATCTTACACTAATTGACAATGTTTTTCTTTTAATACAGTATTTCAACAGCTTAATATTTATTTCAATATATTTAATATTTTTATCTGAATATATATATATATATATATATATATTGCATTTATTTATTATATAAAAGATGTTTCAAAGAAAAAGTTAGTTGTAAACATTTTAAAATTACTTTTCTGTACAATCATTGAAATTTATTTTTAACAGAGGCGATCTTTGAGGTATACATTATAAATCTGATATTTATTATAATAATAAAATACATTTAATGTAATAAAATATTTCTAGTATAGAATATGTATATATTTAAGAATATTTTTTAATTTTGTTTCTAAATTTTATATGAATCATTATAACAAAAAAAATTGTAATTTATTAATGTGAATATTGTATCCTTAAAAGTACATTATAATGAACAGAACCGAATGATTTATTCGATTATTTTCGTTGTTTTCAAAGTTGAATTTATTTGAAATTTCACTATGATATCATTAGAGTTAGATGGTGATCAGAGCCCAGATTTAGTTTCTTATAGAAAATAAGTAAAACGAAAGGAATAGATTGGAAAATATATAAGATTGTCAATGATATGAAGTAGAGGCGAAGTGAAAAATATCAGGGTTGTGAAAGATGTACCAATACGAAATAATTTTTTGCAAGAATTTGTATTAATACTTTTACATTATCAATGTACTTATCAATGTACAAGGAAATATTTTTATTGTTTATCTTAAATATACAAAGTATTAAATAAAATATTCTCGATTGGTGGCTTAAATCATGACTGTTACAATGTTAAGTATAACTAAGTCTTAAATAATAGAGATTTTATCATAATAATAAATATTAATAAAACTAACAAAGTAATAATTACTATAGAACGCTAAGTAATTATTTCAAATTAATTATTTTATACGTAAAATGATATCAGAAAGGAATTTAAAATAATATAAGATGCGATATTAAATATTATTCAAAATATAAAAGATTCTAACATTTTTAGTAATATTATAATATTTAAATCTTAAAGCAAAGCACTTTTTTTTTATTTTTTATTTTTTTTTAATACAAAGCGTGTTTCAACGTTTATTATTAACTGAAATTGTAGACTTAATTTTTTTTTATCTACGTAATAATAGTATTATTTACGTAATAATTTTTTAAAGCATTTTGTAAAACTTCAAAACTCATGACAAATTACAACTAAAAGTGTATAGTTAATTAAAATTATGTATAACATAGGTAATGAAATTTCTATAGTAAGAAATGCCAAAATGCATATTTAGTTTTCCTGGATGAATATCTATTTCTGGAAGTGGACATGATCCTTTGGTAACCCCTATAACTATATTCTGATATATAACTGGAGCTCCGCTATCACCCTAAAAGTAAGCAATACGAAATAATTTCTAATATAGATTTTAATGTTTAATTAGCCATTATATGGTCACTTTATTAAAGACAGCAGTTGCAATACTAACAATTTATCCATGATTTCTGGATATTAAATCGGAAATTTATAGAACAGTATGTTAATTGAGCTTGTTTTGACTTTAAAATTAATTTCTAAAATTCAACATTTCATCTGTGAGCAAAGTTTGTAATAAAAGTAAGAAATAATAATTCAAATTAATAATATTGAATCAAATTATCCGTGCCTCTCGCAAATGAATATAAATTTAACAAAGTCATTTCATATAATTTTATTGTCTTATTGATTCAACGTTGCAATTCAATCATATTTTATAAATATAAGCATAAATAATATTAATTAATGATAATATTGCTAATTGCTCAAGTGAATATTCCTATATATTAATTAATAAGCATCGCGAACGGCGAAATGGGAAGAATAATTCGAATAAAATGATAAAAACAATGAGCGCTGTTCGATGATGCTTTTCATACTATTCATACATTTTGTATCATTTCCCCGCGCCCCCCGCCCCTCCCTCCCGCCTAAAACCTCCATCGCCACCACCACCACCCACCATACTATATTCGTAGTATTATTTGAAAAATATTATTGGAATTTAATATTATGGAAGAAGATCTTACATTACTAACTAATGCAAATGGATTAGCGGCAGTGCAGAAAAGGACAGACTCAAATCGTAGTTCTTCTTCCGCTAGTATCGATGCTCTTGCTTCGCATTCGTCTTTTGATAAAACTGTTACTTTAATCTTTTCCATAATTGGAGCAACTTCGCCGGTATTCGATATGCCCCATCCAGCTATTTCTACGTTCAAACCAAAAATTGCTGAATTCTCATAATTGGATAATGTTGCTGGAATAATGCTGGAATTTATCCGCACCTTCAACTAAACAAAATATTGCTCTGTTTAATTTTAATTCTTCAACTCATCTCAAATTTAATATTGATTATTGCTGTATCATTAAATGTTTATTCTATTTTGCTTTTCATATTTTATTTCAATAGTGAAAGAATAACTTGGATATTCAATACAGATTAATCAAAATATTGAATTTATATAAAAAAAAGTACGTAAAGACTGTGCGAAAAATAAAGGCTTAGTGTAATGTGTTTGGCAATTATTATTTGCACCAATGCAATTTGCTAGGTGCATTTATCATTCATTCATTTTCATCCAAATTATCATAAGTTCAAAGCCTGTATTTTATAAGTTTTGTCAACTAGAAATAAAAATATTTATTTGTCAAATATTTAATAATATTAATTTAACTGATAAAAGTACCTTTATTATCGCGATATCATTCATCATAAATGTCGGTCGAATATTTAATTGCGACGACCAATGGTCAAAGCCTATCCACCATAATATGCTGTGCCTTCTTCCCATAATCAAATAAGTAGATCCAACAATTACTTTTATAAGCGTTGTATTTCTATTAACTAAACAATGTTCGGCAGTTAAAACATGTTTAAACGAGACCAGCGTCCCTGCGCAAACATGTCGTATATTCTGACTGCTCGTCATTTCCGAAACAGAAACAATAAATTGAAAATTTCCTTCCGGCACCTGCTCAACATTCAGTCCAACCAGTGCCTTTGCATTTGTCAATACGCTTAGATAAACTAATATAAATATTGCAATATTTAAAAATGCTCAAGTTGTAAAATCCGTTTTATTAATTGAACAATTAATTCCTTAGATTATTAAAATGAATCTTATTGAATAATTGAAAATTAATTTATTTACTTACACAATATTAGGCATTGGCATTGAAAGATATAAACTTTGAACTGCATATCGAATACTGTTATAGTAAAACAAAATTTGATAAAATTTTACAAATTTAATAATTATATGTATTTATTTTAATGACCGTAAATAAAAGTCTAGTAAAAATATACGAATTTTAAATATTAAACTAAAATTTTATTCCTGTATAACTTGAAACTTAAAGAATTATTGTGCTACTTCTATCAATAATTTATATTTATATCTACATTTATTTTAAATTATTAATAAATGTGAAAGTAGAATCATTGGTAACTCTATTTATGTTGTATAATTTTAATGACAAACATTTCTTTAATAATTACAAATATATTTTCGATTTTTATTTTATAATCATTATTACTTGAAAAAAAAAAACAAAAAAAAAAACAAATCAAAACGATAACAAAACAAAACGAAAACAAAAAAAAAACATAATATTAATCAATATAATTAATTACAAGAAAAATGACGAGGCAAAAGAAAATATATATTACAAACTTTTGCATTTTATGTTCTTCAATATCTTTTCAATTATTATTTATGAAAAATAATTGATAAAGTTTTATCGCATATGGTAATAAAATTTATTTTATGCAAGTATTATGATTTATGTATCTGTATTTATGTCACGAACACATAATACAGTATTAATTAGACAAATGATAAATGGATAATTCTAGTGAATAACAAGAAAACAACAAACATTATACGTTTTACGAATAATGTTATGTATCGCCGTGTGTACTAAAGGTAAATTATATTATATACTATCACGAAAAATATAATTTTTTCTTCCATGTTTAATTATAGATTATTGAAATAATTAGAAGATAAATCTATTACTGCTTTTGCATATTATTTGCAATGTTTGCGCTTCTAATATCATTATATAGTCTACGTCGAATATATCATTTCCATTAACATACATTAATTGGTTATCAATAATAACAGAGCATAAAAAACTCATATAAATTGAAATAATTTTAATTTCAATTATTCATGTAATTAAAATGCATGTGATTCAGTGTTTTACTTTTAGAAAGGAAAACTTTATAGATTCTCAATTAGGAATTGCGCATGCATTTTGAGCATTAATTTTGAGATGAAAAATCTTAGCACTCAGTGATTATCTAGAAGGGAAGTGTAATTAGCGTTAAATAAGTTCATGGATAATAAAGCTACTATCGAATAAAGAAGAAAGGAGAAAGGGATGGTAGAGAGAATAAAAATCAGATTAATAAGTACTGAAGTAAGAAAGTCGGTAGAAGGTGTTAAAGAGTCGAGTATCCTTACGAGTCTTAAGGCTAGTACGAGAAGAGCAAAGAAATTGTCATTACATATATCCAACGGATGAAGCGAATTGACCTCCAAGGAAAGCCAGACGACAGAGAGAGAGAGAGAGAGAGAGAGAGAGGGAATGAAAAAGTCAGACACATAACCCAGGTACCCAGCAAACCTTATCATCGGAGATCACGCTAATCTAACGCCTTTATCCCAAGGGCGGCTGATACAACTTGACTTTTTCTAACAACCTTTTTCTTACATCCTTACACTCACACTTTTTTCATTTCGTGCTAATGCGGCTTTTATATCCGAAGCACCAAACGCCCCTGTCTTCTTCTTTTCTCATCTCAGCATTGCACGTTCGTGCACACGTTCGCACGACTGTATGCGTGAGCGTGAGTATGCGTGCGGATGGATGAGCGGATGGGTGGGAAAGGGGTCACCCACCAACTTATAGATGTGAATGTGTCTTGGATATATCCACTGGTAATTATCCGATAAGAACAGTCCGTAAGCCTTTCTTACAGACACACGTGCACTTATATAGCACGTGACACACTTTTATATATAGCTATAGGCATTGAAGAATTTACCAGGGGATATATATTTGTGTGCCTGTCCCTTTGTGTCTAATGTAAAAAAATATATGTAAGAGACATTTGGTGTACGTCTGTTGTAGTAAATGCGAAAATGATTATATATCTTTCATCAGTCTTTCCAATTTCGCAGGAAACAAAAGCGTCTTTCTTTTAACGAAGCTTGATTTCTTTCCTATGTGTGTGTCTGTGTTTGTGTGTGCTTGTGTGTGAGCCCTCATCCAACTTCTTCTCAGACACTTCTAATTTAAAAACAATATTGTACGATTGAATTACTAGATGAAATCAGTTCGAATCAAATGGCTTTCATATAGATTTTTTAAAACAAATGAATATACAAACATGGAAATTCCATTGACACACACACACACACACATACATATATATATATATATATACATATATACGGATAATTAAGCGATTAAAATATTTAAGATAAAAACTAAAGATCTCATTAGAGAAACTTATTAGATGTATAATTTAAATATTCATTAAAATAATCTTCTGCTATTATTAATCTACTAGATTCATTCTATATTATGTATGTTGAATAATATATTTATTACAATTAAATATAATGAATATTCGATGAGTTTAAACATTCAAGCAATACTAATGAAAATATAAGAAAATATAATTTTATATTAATAACTTGGATTTTAATTGTACTATAGCTTATATTACATTATAGTTTTAATATTAAGGAATTTGCATTTAATAATATAATTTTATTTTAGTTTATTTATATTCATTATATATAATACATGATATGTACTATTTAGCATTAAGCATTAATATAATTATACCAATTCATAAATACAAAATCTTAACTACTAAAAAATATATTTAATTTAAAATTAATATATAACTTTATTACA